GTCCGGGATGGCAGCAGCAAAATTCAGAGCTGCTCTTAGGTCCGGTTCTTGCAGCGCCCGGTTGGGGTTTGGCAGGTTTCACAGCCAGTGCAGCCTGGAGAATTATTACCACCCTCTGGTTTTTCCAAACATGAAACTTAACAGGCCTAAAAATGATCTTTAAGTGACAAAAAAAGAAGGCACTGTTCTAAAACTGTTTTGTTTATGTGGCTCCATTAAGTTTAAAATAACAGAGATGGTATTGTGCATAATCATGGCAGTCATTTTAAAGCATGAATCCACTGGGGCTAATGATGGCTTGAAGAGCCTTAATGAATCAGTTGTTAACTGCTGCTAATCTGTGTTGCATTGATGCAATCAAAATGCTCCATGCATAAGCATATGCCTCCTGCATCTGTTAGAAGCACAGGAAGCAGCGTCTTCAAAGTGACGCTCGCCTTCCCACCGTTGTGTGGGGAAATTGTGATTATCCTTAATTAGATGTACAAATACATTCTTTGACTAATTCCACATTTACAAATAGATTTGAGGCTGGCATTAGTCATTTGTTTTTCCCAGCAAATATGCTATATCCCTTGAGTCACAGACCGGGGGAAGATGTATGTGCGGTGCATATGCTATCATTGACTCCTGTACTGCTGACCCAGCTGAGCTACACAAACAGCCTGAAATAAATCACCTTCAGGTCCGCAGGCCTCTGACAGCGGGCAGCATTTAAAGTCCTGTTTAAAATCCTTACTGTTGCATCCAAAGGTGCAATACCTGTTCTGGCCGGGGCAGCAAGACCTGTGCAACCTGTCAGGGAGAGAAAAAGCTCCAACATTTCAAGCAGCTGGTGATAACCTGGTAAGCAGCATGGGTAGATGATCAGAGCTGTTACTTGTATTCCTTATTTTACTGCAAGGCTTGGGAGCTCAGCTGCGCTCCCTAAGGGGGAGCTGAGAGAGTATTTATTGTCTTTGGTCAGGCAGAAACAGGGGCGTGGAGGGGCAGCTTTAGTCCTTAATGATGGCAGTCTTGTCCATGGGGCGTGGTGGGAGCTGAAGTGGGTTCACAGAGGTAAAGGATTGTCCAAGGTCACAAGAAAAGTCAGAAATGGAGATGGAGCGGCTGACCCTCTGCCTGGTACGAGCTCGCACAGCCCAGACCCAAAGACCCCGGCAGCCAGGAGCAACGGGGGGCAGTGGGTGAGCTCCTTTTTCTGGGGTTTTAGTGATGGCCCAAGGCTGCTGGCTGTGGTGTTGCTCTGGTATTTCCCATTTGGGAGCTCTAGTGCCAGAGATAACAGATGGAGCTGAAAAAGATCTTAGCGTGTGAGGTTTAGCGAAAATCTATTACCTGCCCTGCTGGGTGCTTCCTGAGCACTTTCCCGTTTTTGTACAAAATGCCTTCAACGACCTTCATTTTTCAAAACACCATCTCCGTCCATCCTGAGAGATTGGAAATTGCCCCAGCCGTGTCCGTCATGCCGGTGGGATTGCTGGGGGCGCAGAGGCCCCAGGGCTGCACTACCCCAGACAAGCACAGCTCTGCCAGATGAGACCTTCAGCTCCTTTGGAGGCCACCATCAGCCACTGACCATGCCCGTGTCCTACAAGTAATAGAGCAAAATGGTTCACTATAATCAGAGCCGTGGCTTTGGAAAGGGAATATCAGACCTCTCCTGCCGCAAGGAGTTAATAGGTGTAGGAGGCTCTGAAAGCCACAAGGCAAGGTGATCACCATGAAGGTCTGATTTCAGGATTATTTACACAAGAGTCATCCACGGTTGTTGCATATACAAGGTTATTAAGAAACTAATGCAGGAGTGCACAAAGGTTAGGCAGGCATGACTGTTGTCCTCAGAAATCAGGGAGCATTCAAGCATTGTTCAGGCATTTAGAAAAAGCATGGAGATAGCTCAGCGCCCTGCAACCAGCCTCGGATTGTTCAGTTGTTTCCCCTCTCTCTTGCAGGAAGAACAATGTCTTTGAATTTGTTTCTGAGCATCATCTGAACTTCCCAGGAGAGCTGCTCAGCAAAGTCAGTGGAGAGAATATATTTAAAGACGAAAATGTGGTGGTGAGTGTGACTTATGGGGCCGGAGGGGATCCCTCCCTGAGCGGCTGTGAACAAGGGGGGATGTGAAATGGCTTCCAGCTGCGTGTGTCTGCTGCGGTGGCCAGCGGCTGCTCTGGACACGGCGATAACCAGTGCCCTCTCCTGCAGCGGAGCTGCTGAGTTCCTGTTCGCGGGACACAGCTTTTCCCATTTCTACAGTCAGGAGAAATGTAGGGAGCAATGGGATTATGAAATCTGGCAAAAGTGGGTCTTTTTCCATCAGCAGCCACTGGGAGATCGTGACTTTGCTCCTCCCTGCGGGGGCACTGGGGCCAGGGAGCTCTCAGGCTGGAACAGGAATGCTTTGGCAGGAGCAGGGGCACCCGCAGGTGACCTGTGCGGTCTGACGGTGCGGCACCAGGACCAAAGCAAGAAGGTGGCTTCAGACCATTGCCCCTAGGTAGTGCAGAGCATCCTTAGCTTCCTCTGAGGAACTGAGATGCTGGGTTTTCTGCCTGACAAAATGCGACCAACCCGTGCTGCAGCAGTCAGCGCTCAACTGCCCCAGGTTACTTTTGGTGGCCATTGCCAGACTAGCAGAAATCCCACCCTGAGGTCATTCTCCACAGCTCTCCAGCAATAGCAGGAGACATCCAGCAGCACATCCATCCCTGGGGCTTTTTATACTGTCCCTTGCACATTTTCCACTGCCTGCACAGCATCAGTGCCATTGGCTGCAGGATTTGCAGGGAGCGGGCATGGGATGGTGGCTCTTGCCCCTTGCCGGAGCGCCTGTGTGGCATTGCCATCAACCAGCAAACCCACCTGCCCGCAGAGCCGCCGGGAGCTCATCCCGCAGGCAGGAGCTGATCCTGCCAGCTGTGGAGCCAGCGCAGAGGTGCTGCTGCTGCCCGGGACTGCTTGCTGGGCTGCCGTGGGGACCTGTGGGTGCAGGGCCCTTAAACAAGATGTTCATCAATGCTGGACATCTCTTCTCCTCCAGCTCCTGTGGTACAGTGCTCCCAGAGGGAATCTGCCTCCGTATACCTGCAAAAGTCTGGGGCAAAACAGTTCGAAAATGGCTGAAGCACAGTGCTCTCCTACAGCCAGAGCCATTTCTGTACTGCTCAGTTCTCAGCTTTATTTTTTTTAATGCGAATGCAAATGAGTGAGGATTTAACTGTGCCTTTTTATTATTTATTAGTTGTTTTGCAGTAACCTGTAGAAACTTTAGTGGTGTACCAAGACAGGGAGATAGGCACCATCCAAGCACGGACCAGCTCTCCCCCAGAGAGCTATTACTCAGTGTCATGCATCTGTAGTGAAGACTTTGCATCTGACGTTGCAGAATCCCTTTGGGGTTTGAATGATCGTTAGCATCTGAGTCACTCTCCAATGAATGCTTTAGACCTGAAGTCCTATGAACATTAAAATCAGTGGGCCTCTCACATAAATGGCTATCACTCCTGGCTATGCAAGAAGTAGCTGCATTCATGACTGCTTCTGCTTCGCCCACAAGCCCAGTATTTCTTCTGTAAATTGTTCACATGCTGGGGGAAAACAGAGAGGCTTTAAAAAAGCCTTTCAAATTTAACAGTGCTGTGCTGCTGGAAGAAGGTGACGGTGAATCCTGTTGGGGCACAGAGTCACCCAGTGCCAGTTTAACCAAACCTGCCAGCTTGGGAACAGCAGCCTTTCCCTGCCACTGTCCTGCTCCACAGGCAGCACTAACCTCTGTCTACAGAGGCACGGTACCTATTTTGGACACGTCTTCATTTTGCTGGGGCGGGATGGACGTGCCTTTGGGACTTTGAGCTTAGCATTTATTCTGTTCATTTCCATTATATGCCCAGGTCTTTCCTTGCGTGTGCTGGTAGCAGGTGAAATGAATGTGTTTGTGCCAGACAAGCAGGGTCTCCCTTTTGCGCAGTTGGGTTTATTTCTTGCAGGTGTACCCCATCATCGACTTTCCTGAACCTGAGATCTCCCTGGCCTCGCAGCGAGCCATCGCAGAGCACAGCGCGGCGTTTGCCATGTCCTCCCGCATCCTCCAGCAGGTAAGGGGGGAGCCCGGAGCGGAGCCGCCTGCGCGTCCCCCCCACCTGCTGTGCACCCCTGCCCCCGGGGGTCAGCTAATGATGGTTGATTAGTGAGCTTGGTTAGACACAATAAGATGTTGAGAATAGTAACCGATTTCATTTTTAATTTAGAGGTGATCTTTAGCAAATGAAAAAGAAATTCTAATTATCAAAGAAATCTTAATTATCAAGTGAAATACCAGGGAAATAATTTTTTAGAAATGTATTGAAAGATGTAGGTGACTGTGGTTATTATTGTTCCTTTTACCTTTTCAAAGCCCCGGCAAACATTATTTATTACCACTATTTTTATCTCAGAAGCTAATTTTGAATAAACGTTAAGATCCCACTCCATCTGATTCTCGCTAGAGTTTTGTAATCTCTGTTGCTGCTATTATAAATGTGATTGCAAATGCAAAAGTTTAGCTAGAACATACTGTCTTTTCACCCACAGGAAAGAGAAGGTTTCACATTAAAAATGCAAGTAAACTGAAAGACCAAAATAAACTTAAACGGAGATGGTTTGATTTTCCATGTGGTCTGTCAAAACCAGCTTTTTGGCAAATTTCTGTCTTCCAATTTAATTCCAGCCTATAATTTCCACTTCTCAGCATCAAAGGCAGTTTGTTCACTAGATTGCTGCGCACCAGCCAAAGCATCCTCTAGCTGTATGGGAAAGCAGGTGCTGAAAACCTCCCGCCCTGCCAAAATCCCAGCACCACGTGGTATTTATGCCGATCCGGGCTGCCTTCTGCCGGCGCTTTCCCCACCACTGGATTTTTCATCCCCTCCGCTTGTCGTTGGCTGAAGTTCTTCTGCTTAATAATCAGCATCTTTTGGAGAAAGCTGGGGGGAAATCTCTTCTTCTTTGCTTGGCTGACGCTATTCTGGCTTTTTACGACGTTGGCTGTGTGTTGGAGGTAAATATCAAGACCATAGATACCCTCTGGGGTTAGAGGGGCTGGAGCCCGGCAGACTTTGCTGGGCTCATTGAGCTTTATTTAAAACTGAGACCTCGCACATATAATTGCAGCAGGAGGTGAGAGCCGGGGTGGGCGCCTGCCCCTCGGCTCCGTGAGGGGTTGCTGCTGCTCAGCAGCTCCCGGGGCTGCACCGGCTGCTCAGGAGACCTGACCGTCTGCTGGGCACCGCTCGACTCCCCTCCCTCTCTCATCCCACCTAGCAGCCCTAAGGGGCTGGTGTATGTCGCTGGGTTTGAGCTGGCGGCAGTCCTGGCTGATCACAGATGAAAAATTCACCAAAACTTGGGTTTGGTTGGTGTTAGGGAAAGGCAGGAATTGCTAAACTTGTTCTGCAAAGAAAAGGAAGGAGCAAAGCAGGGCCCTCCATGAGGAGATCAGGTGCCACCGCAGCACTGATACCAGCCTATCTCCTGTAATTCAGCCATGAATAATAATTACCAGATAAGTGGAGATGAAAGCAGCTTCCTTCCCCCTCAGACAGGGAAGGGAGCAGAGCAGCAGGGGTTAAATCTGCAGCGATTTCTGCTGCAGTAACACAGCACAGCGCGGCCCATCACGGGCATCTCTTCCTGCTTCCAAGGGGCAGAGGTGACGTGTGTCCACAAAGGTGGTGGTTCACCACCAACGCCAGTGTTTGCTGGTGCACATCCAGACTCCCACGGCTCCCCCATGTTCTCAGGGCAAGGACAGGGAACCGCGTTCACACACAGACCTCAAGCACGCATGAGACGGGGGCATATGCTAACACACCGAGGACTGGAAACAAGGGCTTAAAGGATTCAAGGAATTAACTTAAATAGCTATAAATGCAGTAAAAGTGGTCTAGTATGGCAGGGCCAAAACATGCTAGCTCCATGCTAGCTGCAGCTAGGGGAATTTTTGATGGCTGTAGTGATGGGCTAGTGGGTGTCCATGAGATTTTTCTTTCCCCCTTCACAAAGCAGCAGCTCTCTCAGACCTGCGAGGCTTGTGGCTAAAAGTTGGGGCTTTTTTCCTCTCTACGTATATTGGTCTAAAGCGAGATACAGCATCTGCTCCAAACTGCTTGTTTAAATTGGGCTTTTCCTTTCCTTCCCCAGCGTCAAACAATCGAGCTAATCCCCATCACAGAAGTTCACTACCAGTATTCAGGGAAGCCTTACCTCTACTACATCTATGGGCTTGAAAACAAGGTGTATGCACTGGACTACCCCGGGAGGTGCTGCTGCGGCTGCACCCTCGTCTGAGACTCGGTGCTGGGAGAAAAGCACAATTACTGCAGCAGTCACTCAGCAAACCCCCTGCGCCTGCGGGGACTCGGGGGTGCTCCAGGACCTTTCCCACCGCACCAGGTGTGCTTGCGTCTGCAACAGAGGACTGCAAAGAAAACGGAGAAGGGGAAGAAAACCATGATGCCCCTCCCTCCAAACCACTTGTATCTCAGAGTCGGGGCCAGCTCCAGGCCTCCCGCTGGGTGCAGGATCAGGCCTTTGGGTAAGGGTTTCCCCCCGTGAATGTTTTCCTTTCTTGTTGCAGTGCTGTATCATTAGAGTGATGCATATTGACAGAGATGTTTTCCGTCCAGCTATGCGGTTTATGACTGGTGCCTTTCTTTCCCTGTTTTATTTGTCAGTTTTCCTGAGTTGCTACATAATCTATAATGATATATTTCAAAATCTCTCCAGTTAGCAAATCTAACTTTAAAGGATTTCATTTTAAAATACCCAGTAACATCATCTGAGGGGTGGTTGTACCAATATGAAAATTATTGTCTAAGAATAAAAGGCTCTTGTGGTACGTGCTGCGCGCGATGCCCTGGGGGCTGCAGGGATGGGGAGAGCAGGAGGTTGGGGGGGAGGACGTGGGGCCACCCCTGTGCCTGTGGGTTGGGGGGACGAGCTCTGCCCCTGGGGACCCACTCCCAGGCCTCATCCAGACAAGGATGCCTTGTCAAGTGCCTGCAGGAGACAGTTCTCCATGGCTCCTCCTTTGCTTTTTCTATCACCAATCTTGCAACGTTTATCTCAGAAAAGCTCGCAGAACACCTCGGCTTGCCTTGGGTTTAAGGCTAATTTAATTTAAGTGCAAACACTTGTGTTTGCAGCGTAGAGCTTGAGGAGGTGAAGCAAACAGACCCTAAACAGTTCAGAACTGTGCAAGCAAACAGAAAGACACCAACACTCATATTTAAAAACAAATCGAAGAACCCTCCTCTCCTCCCCGTGATTTTTTTTACATAGTTCTTGTGCTGTTTGGGGCCTAATAGAGGTGTTTTGCATGGGTGGAACTGGCAGCCCCGAACAGACTGCTGCATCCAATGGGGATGTGCTCGCCTGCAGCCTGGCGCTCTTGTCTGTCATTGAAGTGCCAGCTGAGTGAGAAGGTTATCGCAGCAAAATCCGCATGGGAGAAACACAGCTCGAGGGGCTGGGAAATTTTTAAAAGATAAAGACCCATTCGTCAGCTTGAACAGGGATTGTGAGGGGTGAGAATAAGGAAAAAATGACTGGGGAAAGACATTTAGCAGCCGACAAATTTTAAACAAGTGAGTTGAACATTACTTCGTGTAGGAAGTGTTTTCTAATGCTATTTCTAAAATGAAAAAACCCATGCAGTTTCTGCTAATGTGTAAGCATGAGAGGATGAGAGGGAGAGAGGAGCTTTCCTGATTTTGCTGTGGAGGGAGAGACACAGGCAGCAGCCGCTGTCCTGGCACAGAGCGACGCTCCCCTGTGCTGGCCCCAGCACAGAGGGATGCTCTCCTGCATCGGCCCCAGCACCGAGGCTGCCCCCAGGCTGGGTGTGTTGGTGTGTCAGATCAGAACTGGTTTCAGCCGTCACCCACCCAGCTTTACTGGGGGGTTTTGCAAGCAGGAGCACCATGCAGGCATGCTCTGAGGTCTCGGTTTGGGCAGGATGCTGAGAGCCACAGGCAAACGGGCCGTTGTGCTCACAGGAAAGGACTTGCAGGGAGGTGCGGCC